TTACTATCACGTGAGGGTCATGCTGTCATCTCTTTGCCCATTTAATCTTGATTACTTGCCCTAAAATTGACAATCTCCTTCCTGAGTTGTTATGATCAGTGTGTTCCTTTTGTGTTAATGTTGAAAGCTGTTCTGTGAAAAAGTTGGTTAGGCTTGCTTCAGACTGGCTAGTGCTAGGGTCTGATTTATGAACATCCTGTTGTCTTGGGCCTCTGAGGAATTCGGCTCCTCATGTTTCAACCATATTTTGACCAAATCTTAGATTGTCTGATTCGGTCTGATATCCTAGACAGTAAAATGAGTTTAGATTACAGAATAGCTTGACAATAATGGAACAGCCTGTTCCCTCCTTTTGGCTCCCTAACCTTCCTGGAGTGAAAGGTCAGATATTTGTTTCTTCCTCATTTCTGTGGCTGAGAGCTCTGGATGTGGTGATATCGGCCAATGAGCTTCCTGGCCACTGTCCTCAGTCAACCTTGCCATTTGCACCCTGTGACTTAGCTGATTAAATCTGTATGAGAAGGGAGTGGGCCAGTAGAGAAAATGTCTGACAATTTTGTTTAGGATTGTGCTGTCATTTTGAAAGATTGTTCCTGTCAGTTTAGGAACAGTTGGTTCCCTTTCATGGGAACTTCGAACTGCGTCCTCTAGGGGTCGCTATGGGGAACGCCTCGTCGTGACCCGTGTCTGAAGCATACATTGAAAAAACACCAACTCGTTGGCCGGCGACAGCCATGACGTCACTACCGGTGCGACTCCAGTATAAATCGGCGCCGGGAGCTACACATCATTCTCTTCTTCGTCTTCATTGACTGTTCTGTTTGAAGCGTGCATTTTCAAGGAAAAAGTAAGAGCTATCTATTTATTATGGCGAGCACTAGTAGAGCATTTAGAAGGTGTGTGCATCCGTGGCAGCGCTATTTGACACCAGATGACACACACGATCTATGTGTTGTTTGTTTGGGCGAGGAGCACGCACGCGATGTCCTCGAGGGGGCAATCTGTGGAGGTGAGATCCATCACTAAATGAGTATTAATTTAAAGGCAAATATTACTGCATGTTGCTGAGGGTGTTTCAGTTGATATTACACATTTTTAGAACCCTTATAGAAATAGTGCAGCCAAAAATGTAAATTCCGTCATCACTAACCCATGTGTTGTCCAAACCCCATATCACAGATTATACTCTCCTTCATAATGTGGACTGGGAGTGTAGACCTCCCACAAGGACAAAAATGGCTAGGAAAGTAGTCCATAGAAAGTCACTGTATTGCTAGTCATTCTCCCTTTATTGTAGCTCTCAGAAGTCATCTAAATTAAATACAAATATGGTTTTGTTGTCAAAAATGAGACACACAAGAACCAGTTGCGCTTAAAATCATTGACATCAGATTGCTTTTATGGTACATTTTACTGTACTTTTGCATATTTAGGGAAATGATTCCTCTCAGTAGTTAATTCATAATTTTTGCGTATCAATGCATGAGGCTTTCTGCTTGGTCACTACTGGCTAAAACAGTTTCCTCTCAGTCCCATGTGGGCCACATATGACTTCCTTCCATTTTGACCATCTCTAAATCTTTCCTTCCCTATGACTTTACTGCACCTCCCTCCCTTTAGCTCTGCCTTTTTGTTCCCTTTCTCACGATTACTGTATGGCTTTTAGTTTTATTTCCATTTCACTCTATAATTTACACTCTCTGTGTAGCTCTCTTTTCTTTCTGCCTTCTGTAAAAGGTAACGGCTTTGATATATTTTATTCTTTCCATTTACAAAACAATGTAAAAGTATCAAGTTTGTTGGCTCCATCATTTCAAACAGACACTGTCAAGAGTAAGTTACTTTTCAAAACTTGACCTCTGTGTCAGTCATGTATCCTGGCTGTATATCTTTGATGAAAAGCTTATGTTGATCAAAGCTCTATTCTGGCAGTAAATGAAAATGGAAACTTAAAGGAGTTCTTAAGGGAAAATAAATTGTCTTCAACCAGGGGTAAATGAGAAATTAATTATTTTCAGTTAGGGAATTTTAACATTATGTTCGCCTTCTACTATTGACACATTTTAGCTTTAGCACAAATGGCTCTATAGAGAATTTGCAGGATTGTGAATTGAATTGTGAATGCTTTTAAGTGTAGTTCTTGAAACATAATCTGTAGTTCTAGTGAAAAATAAAATGAATAGAATGAAATTCATACTGCTGTGTAAATGTAATTCTTAATAATACATATAATTTTCAGCATAAATTACCTATAAGTGTGGTAGTTTATATTTAATTTATATAATTCCATTTAAATTGTTTCAGTTATGTTAACAATAAATACATTTTCATAAGGACCATACTTAAGGAGCCCTTCATTTTTCAGAACTGTCATATTATTATTTATTCTTATTTTAATAAATTCATATATTGTATTAGATAATTTTGTCAGATTGTCAGATCAGTTCTGAAATTCTACAGACACAAAAAAGGAATGATTTTTCCACCATAGATGTACTTTTTATTCACAGATACTACCTCACATAAAACTTTCTGCATTTAAAAAAAAAACTTCATTCTCTATGATTCATGAGCTGTTTTCCTCATGGGAACCAAAAAAAACATTTTTTTTATTTCATTTTAAAAACATAAAAATGACTGGTATTATAAAAAATTACTGGTATTAATACCAGGCACAACCCCCACACACTTTAATGGGGCTGGCATCATCACTTTTCACCATGCTTTTATACATATATGAGGTTAAGTGTGGCTCAGTTGTCTTGTCCTCTCCTTTCCTCAGGATGAACTGGATCTCACAGACAAGAACAGGGAAGCCATGTTTGCTTTGCCTGCTGAGAAGAAATGGCAGATCTACTGCAGCAAGAAGAAGGTGAGTCATTCATTATATAATCCTTTAAGGTTTTCTTTTGAGTTTAAAGGGGTCATATGATGCGATTTCAATTTTTCTTTTCTCTTTGGAGTGTTACAAGCTCTTGGTGCATAAAGAAGATCTGTAAAGTTGCAAAGACTAAGGTCTCAAATCCAAAGATATATTCTTTATAAAAGTTAACAGTCAACCACGCCTACCTAAAACGGCTCGTTCTAACACGACCCCACATGTCTACATCACGATGTGGGAAGGTTTGCATAAAGCCGCCCAAATGTTCACGTAAAGAAAGAAGGCGTAACTTTTATTCTCGCTGTAGTATTGTTGTAGCCGTGGCCTTTTATGGAGGTCTGTTCTGACTCACAGACAGTAAGTAAGTTTTCATATTTAAAGAATTTGCCACTGATGATTCAAACGCGAGTTTTGAGCAGTGCAGAGTAGCGCTTGTTGTTTGTCATTTCTCCGATCACAAATGCAGACATGGTTTTATGTTTACGCGGCGATAAGCAATGCAATGCATAAAAAGACAGTATAAGTCATTATAATCCGTAATTATGTCCCCACTGGATGCAACAAATGTCTCGTTTATAATGGGT